TTAATTGCCCATTAGTCTAGCAGTTACAAAAACGGATAGGTGGTAAACCCCATATGCTCTTTAAATATATTGTGGTTAAATAAAAAAAAGGGACATGGGAGTATTACTTAAGTTTACTCCTTCAATAAAAAGAGCCATTTATGAGATTTTTTTCAATTCAACAGTTTTTGAACCATCTCATAATCACTAGATGATTATTTTCAAAAGTTAAAATTTAATTTTTTAAACACTTAGATCTCACCCTCTAAAAATTGTAAGGTATCTATTCAATTATTAAGTGGTTCCTAAAATTTTAAATTAAAAAATCCTCCCAAATAGATATTTTTACCGAGGGAGTAAACTTATACTATACTCCTTCAGGATGACGTCCCTTCTTTAATTTAACCATAATGCATTTAAGAGACATGTGGGGTCCGATGTTGTAATTGTCAAAGAGGTGGGTAATTTATGAAAATCAAATGTGCCATGGGTGGAGGAATGCTCGTCGTAATTTTTGACAAAAAGAACGATATATAAATGAAAGGACACAAAAGGTGTTAGGTATGTAATTTTCTCTATTTATAATATTTGTTTTTTTATTTAATTATGTTTTTTTCCATCTTCCTTACATTTAAGAATCCACTTAGTTTGATGGGTTCTTTAAGTTTCGGGTTTTGAGTTTAGAATGAGAGAGAAAAGGAGACAACTTAGGTAAAAAACCAGCTAGGTTGGTCCTCATAATCTATAAGAAAAATATCCAAATAGTATTAAAGTTCCATAGCCCTCATACAAATAAGGTCGATATTCCCATCCTTTTATTACCAAACAAAATAGAAAACAACAAGACAACATAACACACCGGATTCAACCAAAAAACATACGCAACTTCACTCCCCTTTTTCACACAAGACACCTCTCTTTCTCTCTCTACTCAACCCCAAATTTCTTCTTGATAACCTCCAGCAAGACCAAGATCTTCTCGGGGTCCTGCAAAGCCTTGGAAACGCTCTCTTTCTCCATGCAACGCTTGCCCCAGGCATCAATTTTGGGGCACTCAGCTGCAACACTGAACCCACCATGGACCTCATAGGCATGGAACCAGCAAACAAATGGCACCAAGGCAATATCCATAAACCCTAATTTCTCCCCTCCAAAGAAGGGCTCGTCTCCCAAGCCGCTCTCCAAGACTTTGAGGCTTTCGATGAAGTCTTTCACGGCTTCGGCCCGGGCCTCGCCCTTGTGTTTCCAAATCCGGGTCCCGCTCTCGTACACCTGCAGAGGACCACCATAAAAGGTTGCGTGTCCAAATCATGCGTGAATAGTTTTTTTTTTTTTTGACAAGGTTACATGGAATGGAACTTGAGACATTGGGCTATGGAAAAGCAGCCCCTACACTTGACCCAAGCCCATTTCCCTAAGGCCTCGATCAAAATAAGGAGCACCTCCAAACCCTGCTGGAAGATGCACATTGCTTGGGATAATTTTTACAATGGAAAAGTATACAAAGATATTTTTTACTTTTAACAAGGAGATCATAATGTCCATTGGATTTCAAATCGTTGTGAATATGTCATTCACTTTGACCTAAAGTTTCACAAAAATAAAAATAAAAAATCCTCCAAATTTGACATTTAGCAAGTAGCAACAATGACCTTTTTGTAAAAAAAGTAAGTGGTCTCATAGTTCACAATCCCTTTTACAATGGCAGTATAAACTCGATTCTCCTAATTATGGAACTTAATGCTCCAAGAGATCTATAGACCCTTAGAAATCTTAAAGATGGATAGCCCAAAACAGTATAGATTATTTTAAAGACTTGATATCATTTTTTTCATATCCAATATTACAAGGTCAAAAAGATCAGTTTAAGACTTCTATCATCAGGAGTTTTCTATCATAATAACAACCCGGTGATAAAATCTTAAAGATGGTAATCCAAAACAGTATAGATTATTTTAAAGACTTGAGATCATTTTTTTTCATATTCAATATTACAACGTCAAGAAGATCAGTTTAAGACTTCTATCATCAGGACTTTTCCATCATGATAACAACCCCGTGATTGAATCGCACGGTCCGATACAAAAATTGGTCACCCCTTACCGATTCTGTCAATATATAAGAAAAATTTTCGGTCTAAAAGACAACTTACTATTTTCTGTAATGAAATTGTGTTTGTTACAGCAAAAACATTGTTCTACTACAGTAAGAAATGCCGATTCATTGATCCTGGAGGAGTTTTGGTCCGTTCACTATTTTTGCATGTATTTTTTCACTGGTTTACTATGTTTCCAAACGGTACCATGGTGATCTGGATCGCCGATTCATCGATCCAGACCGGTTTTTGCAATGCCTGATCCGAGTCACCGATTCATTTCTTAAATCACCGGAACAACCTTTTCCAACATATTTTTCGAGGTACCTCTCCCTTCTCAACATGTTTTCTCAGTTAATCATATTTTCTCCGTTTTGGGAAGGTAAGAAAGTATGGAAATGCAGAGCCCGGTATTTTTTCATGTTTCCATGCTTTTCCCCAATGCAGAACCCCTATTTTGAAAAGGGGAAATGCGAAACACCGATCATCCACCTTTTATTTTTATAACTTCATTATCTCTTTTCCCTCTCCCTTTGTAATTCCGGACAAATCTTTTCTCTCTATCCCTAGTTCTCTCTCTTCTATTTTTATACGTTTTCACTTTTTACATACAGGTTATCAAACACGGGTTATTAGCTTCCAACTACCAATTTACCACTTGGTATCTTTTTCTCATACTTCCATATAGATTATCTAGTGAAACAACTTTCTCAGTTACCAAACGAGAACCGTAAACTTGACAAAACATGCAGACACACTCTACAACTGTTAATCTCTCTCCTCTCTTTCTCTCTCTCGAATGAAATGAAGAAAACAATCTCACCTTCTTGTCAACAAAATCAGCCCAGAACCTTGCGACAGCTCGCTCGTACGGGTCCTTAGGCAACAAGGGCGAGTTCTTCCACACCTCATCAACGTACTCTACAATTATCAGAGACTCTGATACACACTTATCGCCATGAATGAGCACAGGGATCTTCTTGTGAACAGGGTTACTCTTCAACAAGAGCTCACTCTTATTGTCCAGGTCCTCCTCTCTGTACTCATATTTCACGCCTTTCTCTGCGAGAGCAATCCTCACTCTCATGCCAAAAGGGCTTGCCCACACATCCAGCAGAATCACCTCCCCCCCCATCTCTTTCTCTCTCTAAAAAATTGCCCACCCTTAGCTTTCTCTCTAGAGGAAGGGTCTCTATTTGTTGCAGGGTTTATAGCGGGAAGTATTTATCAGCGTTGCTTGTGATGGTGCCTGGGGTTCATAGATTGTTACGTGATAGGATGGGCGGTCAGGATTGAAGGGAAGGTTAGGGTTGGTGGGCCGTTGAATTTTCTAGCGTGGAAAAACTTGGATCGCTGTGATGTCACTGATAGCGTCAAAAGGGTCGTTTTGGTCATATATGGGAATAAGTAAAAGGTCAGAAAAACCCTTGTCATATAGGTTGAGGGCCCGAGTTTATCACTCGCTATTAATTGGTGTGTAAAAATATGTTAGAAGTTTAGAACCAATTATCGTTAAAAAAAGGAAAAAGTTATAGATATCGCCAACTTCCACTTTCTAAACATCCAATCTCCAAAATTTTTTATATCCAATCCCAAACTTAGATATTTTTTTTTTTTATATTTACTCCCAAATCAAAAAATCACTAGATTTAAGACGAAAAGTATATGACCTCTATGTACAAAAGATAAATAGTCTCTTTATAGACAATATCGTGTTGGATGTGGTTTTAGTCTTAATAAACCCTTGGTAAATTAACGGTGGTATTATAAGATGAAGTATTTGACGAACCCTTAATAACCGTCTTAACAGACAATGGATAAGATATAAGCATGGTTGTTGATGAAACCTGCCAAGATATTCTCCTGATATGATATGAAGGTATGATATGCTTTTGATACCTCCCAAGATATGCCCCTGAAATGATATGAAGGTGTGATACGCCTTTGATATGATATGAAGATATAATATACCCCAATATGATATGAAAATATGATATGTTCATGACTCATCATATGAAGGCTCCAATATGCTTTCAGAGTCTTGACTAGTCAGTCATCCCTATATGTCCGGATTTATGAACGATAATTATAGAAGGAGTCAAACCATCTTAATATGGGATGGATTCTAAGATATATATACTTCTAAATGTCTCTTCGCAAGATATTAAAGATATTTGATATGATACCAATGACTCGTTGATTAAACATGTTCCTCTTTACTAACGGGTGATGATAGAAATATCAAACTAATCTCGATATGAGATGCATTCTAGGATACATATACTTCTAAGGCTCCTATGTACCTCTCCATATGATATGTGGAAGAATTTGATACAGAATGATATGTTTCCCATCCACCATCAGTTACACATGGGCGTTGTGACTAACGGTTGATGATGAGAGACAATTAAAACATTTTAATTTGAGACGAAACTTTGGGATACATACACTTCTATTGCCCATATATGAAACAACGACCTATGTGATCTTTCCCAGGGGAATACAATTTTTTTTTTTAATGATAATAATCACCCCTTTTTTATTTTGGCAAAAATATCACTTACAGACGGACTTTTACAATAATAAATATTTCAAAAATAAAACAGGACAACAATAAAAATAAAACTCAACCACTTGATGCCATTTTTATAGCTTAATACTATGCTTGAGAATATAAAGTAAAAGAGCAAAGTATGTAAAAGAGAAGATGCCGAAGATTACCTCAACCAGACTTATTACGCCCCACACCGAGTCACCACATCCAATGGCACGGGATTAGCGGTCTAACTTCAATCGCGAACCGGGAAAGCTAATTTCAGCCAAACTAGGTAATCACCCTTAAATATCTACAAAACCCTAACTCTAAAATAATTAGGCTCAAACCGTAATTTTTCCAACCCTTAGTATTTTTAGGTCAAGAGAAAGAGAGAAGGAGACCTAGGGTTGGGGCGTGCCCCTTATGGGTTTTAGGAGAGAGAGAGGGTTAGCGAGAGAAATCTTGAGAGGAGAGAGGGGCGTGGCCCCTAGGGAGGAGAGAGAGAGAGAGGTGTGTGGAGAGTGGGGAAGAGCCACCCTTATTTATAGTAGTAAATTTA